TGAGCACTGAGGAGTGGGTGCTGGTAGGGGGAGGGTTGACACAGAGGCCCCTGTCCAGGAGATTGTAGGGGGTGTCCTCTGCTCACAGGCCCAGGGTACAGAGCAGATCAAGTTCCTGGGGTGGCCAGACTCCAGGTCCCAAGGTTGAGGATGTTGGGTGTATGCAACAGGGCTGGTGAGGAGAGGAGGGCACGCAGGATCAGGAGGAAGGGTCTGAGGTGTGGCCCTTAGAGAAGAACAGGCTCTGGTCCAACTTCTCCCTGAACAAACACACTTCACCCCCAGCCCCCTCCCAAGACAGGGGTCCTCTCATAGCTCTGCCCTGCAGTCCCATGAACTTCCCCTGTGGCCCCTCCTGGAGCCCACGTCTAACCTGTCACATGCAGAGAGAGCTTGGGATATAGGTAACTTATTTTTATCTTTCCTTTCTCCACCCGAAAGAAGTATGTCCCCTGGTCCGTCCTCCTGGCCTCTCTGATGCTCAAGGAGCAGTTGCTGTTCTGGGGGTCTCCCAGGAGCTGGATTCGGTTGTTTGTGGTCACTGGAGGGTCCTGGTATATATTGGCCCCTTCTCGGAATCAGTATCCATGGACACTATTGAGGTCACTCCAGCAGTCTGGATTGAAGACTTGCAGAGTACAAGGACACACAGACCCTCCTGCACTGTCAGTGACCCTGGCACTTCCAGTTGGAATCTCAGATCCAGGTACTCTGTGGGAAAACAATTGTCACTTCTGCCCAGCCACCAACGTCCCGCTGTCTGTCTACCCACTGCAGGGGCCGCAGCAGTCACAGCATCTCTAAGGCAGAGAGTTCTGGACTCCTTGTGTGAGCAAAGAAGGGGAGGTGAGTGAGGGGGAGGGCTGGGGACTCAGAGGCTGGAAAAAGCAGGAGACCACAGCGGTTCCCAGAAGAGGAACCTCAGGCACACACTTGGTGAGAGCTTATCCTTCTCTGCACAGAGAGGAGAGAAACCCCAAAGCCAGGAGACCCCAGAGACCCACCCAGAGGGAAGCAGAGAAGGAGCAGGGACCATTTCCCACCTCCCACTGTGGGGCTTCCTTGGTGCTCCAGAGCCTGGCCACACATGCCACACATGTGTGGCCACACATGTGTGTCCTGCTCACCATGTCTATGGACCTTCCTGGAAGTTCCTTCTGATGTTTAGGGGTTTGACAGGGATCCCCCAAGGACCCCCAAGGCATGAGGGGTGGATAGGACCATGATCTAAGAGTCCTGCTGTCCAGACTGAGGTGCTTCTGGGGCCACATATTTTGTACCACGAATGGTGCTTTCCTGGTCTGACCTGAGTGTCATGGTGTTGTCTAGACCTAAGGGTCACAAATGGGGAAGATTCAAACCCAACAGACATTTGACAATGTGTGGGAACAGTTTATACTGTCACACTGGGTGGGGTGGTGCTGGTGGCATCTGGTGCATAGAGGCCTCGATGCTGACAACACTCTGTCAAGCACAGGACAGACCCCAGCTAGGAAGGGGCATCCAGCCCTATGTGCCAACAATGTCAAGGTCAGAGCGGGATGAGAAAGCTGGGCATGTGGGTCAGGGTGGTGAGGAGAGTGAGACACTGGATCAGAAGGGAGGGTCCAAGGTGCAGCATTGAAAGGAGCTCAGACTCTGGTCCAGCTCCTTACCTGAGCCTGACATGCTTCTCTCCCAACTTCCTCCCAGGTTGGGAGTCCCATTCCAGCTCCAGCCTGGGACCTCATGACCTTACCCCATGGCCAACTCTGGAGCCTGTGACTTATCTGTCACAACCACAGACAGCTGGGGAAATGTGTAAGTGTATTTCTCACTTCCTCTCTCCACGTGAAAGAAGTAGGTGCCCGCGTCCCTCTTCCTGGCATCTTTGATTCCCAGGGAGCAGTCATTGGTTCCCGGATCCCTGAGGAAGTGAAATCGGCCCTTGGTCCCCTCCTGCACTTCTCGATATTGGTTGTTTGTGGCCACTGGCAAGTCTGGGTGTGTATTGACCCCATTCTGGAACCAGTAGCCATGAACTGGGGCAGAGTCAGCCCAGCTGTTCCAGGGGTAGGAGAAGGAGCAGGGCCCAGAGACACACAGGCCCTCCTGCACCGTCACTGACCTCTGCACTTTCAGCGTGCCGCCATCTCCAAACTGTCTCTGCCCCTCTGTCCCCTCATTCCCCCAGAGAAGTGTTAGCAGCAACAGCATGCTTGGATGGGAGGTGCCAGGGCCGCCAGGGCCGCCAGGGCAAGTCTGTTTCTCAGGGCTCTTCTCTCAGGAACTAAGAGCTCAAGACTCAGAGGAGGCTCCACAGGAAGCCGGGGGCGAGGCCAGAACAGTGACCTTCTCAGAGGAAAAACTTCAGACCTGTATGCCATCTAGTCCAGCTCAGCCCTTGGATATCAACTGTCTGTCAACCCGCATCTAATTTTGGGGACCCTGAGGCCAGAGAAGGTGAGAGACTCATTCAGATTCACACTCCATATAAGGACAAATCCCCATCTCCTGCCTCTCCTTCTTACTCTTTCCCTCTGGTGATATTTTCTGCAAAGTCTGAATAGGCCCAGCTGGCCAGATCCCTGAATCACAGACTGTGGATATTTGTACATTTCAGGGGAAGGACTTGGGTTAGAAGAGATGAGGCCAGATGGGGTAACAGGCAGCCTTTCCCTTCCCACAGCATCCACGAGATGGAGCACCCTCTTTCTGCTTGACGAGGTCGACACACCAGACTTGGAGACCCTCCCCAAGGAGTCACTATCTAGTGGGAGACAAGTCTCCTGACCTCTGAGCTCCCGCTGACAGTAGCTTCAGCGAGGATCACACAGGCAGGGTGGGGGATCTCCCTTAGGTTGAAGGTTGCGTCTCAGGAATACAGAGCAGGGGGCTTGGGGCTGCCGAGATGAGGGTTCCTTGTGTCAGCACATGGCAAGGATGCCAGGGTAGCCTGGCTTGCAGGAGGCCTGGGCACTTGAGGCTGTGACTGTTTTGCATTGGGATTTGAAGGGAAGAGAGTCCGAGGGAAGGGGCGGCTTTTGAAAGCGGCGAACGTTTCTGTCTCCTAGCAGGTCTCTGGGCACCAGGTGGGGTTACCACTGAGACACATGATCCCTGGTAACTCCAGAGCACATTGGATCTGCCGCCCTCGGGTTTTGTCCTGCAGGTTCTGTCCCAGGAGCTCAGGAACACAGATGGCGTGGAGCGAGAACACCAGAATTTGGGCTGTCCCCTTATGGGTGTCAGGATTTCGTGGGCGAAGAAACACACCACTGAATTCAGCGGAAAATTGTTCCTAACTGTGTGGCTGGCCTGGGAGGAAGGGGAATCCTGAGAGGTTTGGCCTCCTCAGACTCAGATCAGGTTTTCCTGAGACAACTTTATTGAGAGAAAATATAAGATTTAGAGATATGGTGCCCCCAAAACAACTCAGAGATTTGCAGAAAACAAACACCCTCTGAGACATGGACTGCCATAAGATAATTTTCAAGTCTCTTTCTTGAGATGAACAAATGAATTTCATTCATTTATCCATCCCTTTGCTTTCCCTTCCCATGGGCCATGCCACTCCCCCCCCCTTTCTGAAGGAGTCCCTGGCCTCATTTTAATGTTGATTGTCTCCTTGCTTTTCAATGCAGATTACCATCTGAGCACACTGCCTTGAATTCCACGAAATTGCACGTGTTTTGCTGAAGACTTTGTTCACATGAAAGATGCCGTCTGTTTCCTTCCACTCAGCCCCATGGCTCAGCCTGTCCCATGTGGTCCCCTCACTGTTCATCCTGAGTCGGCTGAGTCGGTTGTGGTGACTGAGAAGGGAAGCTACAGAGTTGGATCATGCACAGCCCCTGCCCCACTCCAACTCCTGCCTTTCAGCTGGGATCTCATTCTGCAGATCCCTCTATCTCCTGGACCCCCACCCTTGCACCATCCCCCGGCTAGCAGCGGGGTCAGCTGCAGCCTATCAATAGTCAGAAGTGCTGGTCATGGCCCATCTGTTTCCCTTGGTTACTAACTTGCAAAGAAAAGCAGAAAATGAGAAGGAAAGACAAGGGAAGCCAGCAAGGATCTATTTGTGTCCACAGTACAAGTTTATGAATGTCTCATGACTCAGCAGAACTGGGAAACTCCTAACTCGACTTCCACAATTTAAAGAAGATGATCCCAAGGTCCAGAGTGCAGTGGAGTGAATGTCTGTCTCTTCCCAAAATGTATATGTTGAAATTCAAACCTTCATGTGATATTAGAAGGCATAGTCTTTGGGGGCAGTGATTAGATTACGAGGGCTCTGGGATTCATCTTGTTAAATTATTGCACTTAGAGAGAGACCTGAAGTCGGGCTCGGTGGCTCAGCCTGTAATCCCGCGCCTTTGGGAGGCTGAGGTGAGTGGATTGCCTAAACCTGCAGGTTCGAGACCCGCCTGGGCAACTTGGCGAGACCTCATCTCTACAATAATTCAAAAAAGTAGCCGGGCATGGTAGCACGTGCCTGTAGTTCCAGCTACTTGGAAGGCTGAGGCGGAAGGATCGCCGGAGCCCAGCAGGTCGAGGCTGCGGTGGCCGGGAGCGGCCACTGCACTCCAGTCTGGGCGACAGAGTGAGACTCCAACTCAAAAAAAAAAAAAAAAAAAAGAGAGACCTGAGAAATCTTCCACTATATGAAGGCACAATGAGAAGGCACCATCTGTCAGGAAGCAAACTCTCACCAGATACTAAATTGGCTGGCACCTCAGTCTTGAACTTCTCACCTTGCAGAACTATGAGAAATATATATTTTTTTGCTCTTCATAAGCCACCCCATTTATGGTATCTTGTTATCACAACTGAATGGACTGAGATGGCAGATGAGATGCCCTAGCCACTCAGGCATCCTGTCTCACGCTCTGTTGTCTGTCAAGAAGCCATGTCATCTCTCTTGTCTGCAGAATCAACTGAACTGGAGAAGGGAGGTTTATGTTTATTTCAGAGGGAAGAATTTTTTAGTCTCATCTGTGAGATGAAGGAACATATTTCATCCATCCATTTATTCCATCATTCACTCATTCACTCAGCATCCATTGAGTAGGCACAGTGGACGTGGTCGGGACTCAGGTAGTCACTGGATTCCCTGGATCCTGGAATTCCTGACTCGGGGACTGTGTTCCCAATCCCTCTCACCCTCCCACGACACTGCAGACTCTAGGCAGCTACCGAGTTCTGCCCTCTGTATGTGACCACCCACCTCTGCCCCAGCAAGGTCAGGCACTGCCTACAGGGAGCGCTTCCTCTGCCCAGGACAGACTCTGGATACTGAGGATCCCAAGACGAGGACGGTGGCGCTGTCCGTCGTGCTGACACAGAGTTAAGCCCTGATGTTGGAGATGTCTGCAGCTCTGAGGTGGGACCTGATCACATAGAGCAGGGGCTTCAGGTTGGAGTCAGAGGGTCACTGTTCAGATGCGCTGGGAGATCCCAGGTCCATCTGGGAGAGGGAAAGATCACGTTTTCTCCTCCTTGTCCTCTTTTATACCTTCCTGAAAGTCCTGTGCACAATGCCATGCTGTCGTCACTGAGGCAAAGGCAGGGAAGGTGAAGACTCTGAGCTGTCCCTCTAGATACGTGTTTTCATGTCATCCTTAGCCATCCCTGAATGAGAGGGGTTAACCCCTCATCAGATAGAGGAGGCATCTGACCCTCAGACAGAGGACAAGCTGGAGGAATGCATCTCCAAAGACAACCACAAACAACCCCTCTCCCTTACAAACAGGGTGTTTCTGTCATTACAGGATGGTGTTTGTTATTATTATTATATCTTTCCCTTGAATTGGAATCGTGTCCATGAATGTTTTGACCAACAGGACATGGATGACAAGGTGTTCTGAGACTTCCGTGACCCAGACATTAAGAAAGCCTGGCAGTTTTGACCCCGGACTTCGGTAGAAGCAATTTGAGGTACTCTGAAGGAAAAAGATGCTACCTCAAAGAGCACTAAGGGGTAGGACATCTGGCCCCATCTAGGCCACTGTCTCAACACAACTCCCTGGGAGCCCAAAGAAAAACTAGAAATGATACCACCCGGCTGGGTCTCAGCCTTTTACAACACCAGGAGATGTAGGTGAATGATAGTTTTGGCCACTGAGTCTTTGGATGGTTTGATATGCAGCAATATTAAACAAAACTAACTTACACAAACAACAGCCAATAAAGAACAGGTGCAGTTGCAGGTTAACTTGCCAAATTTTTTCTACTTACTGTAGCTATATAATTGTATTTAAATAGTAATTTGTAGCCTTCAGTGAAGACACTTGTGGTTTCATTCTCCATCCACTGAGCCAGGCTGAAAATACATTTCCCAGAATCCCCTTCCCCATTTGCTCCCCGGTGAGAAGTGACAGAAAGGAAGGGAAGTTGAGGCCACAGCACTGGTTCTGAGGTCAATTCAAGGCAAGGGGCTCCTTCAGCCCCCCCACATTGTCACCTGTGGTCAGTCCACCTCATTTGGGAGACATGATAGCTGCTCAACTGCTGGGCAGCAAGGAGGGAGTTGCAGGCAGTCCTGACAGTGACATGGGAAGGATTTTGGAAAACGACATCTCTCAGATTTCTCTCTTAATAAAACATTGTCCCAGAATCCCTTAGACTTACAATAGGGCTATAGCCTATTCATGGGAGCCTCATCTTCCCAGGGCAAAGTAAGGGACATGGCCCATCTCAGTACACAAAATGCCCAATGTCCAGATGAGTG